CGCGGTCGGCGAGCGCCGGGGCTCGGGCGCTGCGGGCCGGGCGGCGGCGGGGCCGGGGCGCCGCGGGGGCTGCTGGGGGCGGCCGAGGGGAGGGGAGACGAGAGGCGAGGCGGCGCGGCGGGAGGAGCGGGGTGCGGCCGTGCCCGAGGGCGGCTCCGGCGGGCAGCGGGGCGTTCTTCGGCCGTTGTCCGGGCTGACGGGAGCGGAGGCGGCGGCGCTCCGCTCGGGGAGGCCCGGCGCGGGCCGCGGGGCGGAGGCCTCTGCCGGGCGGAGTGCGGCTGTGCGGGCCTCGGGGCCGGGCCGCCGTAAGTAGGTGCGGAGCGTAGCCCGGGCTCGGCACCGCGGCCGCCGGCGGAAGGGCTGAGCCCGGGGTACGGCCACCGAGAGAGAGCTGGGCTGTTTGTAGTCGCCTGCGCAGCTCTCCCCTTGGAAAGCACTGTTTGGCGGTAACTCTGGCTCGCTCTGCTCCCAGAGATACCGTGCAGGCCGAGCCGCGCGGAGCGAGCGAGCGCTTCGTGGGGTTCTGCTTAGAGGCCTTCCGTCTGAGCCGGCCTGTCCGGCCCGGGCAGAGCCAAGAGGCGTTGGTGCTGCCGGCATTCGTGTGCGATGCTGCGCTTAAAGCGCGCAGCTCTGGCACGGCTCGCGGGCGGCGAGGCGCACGGCCGCTGTGTACCTGCGCCATCCCTGCACGCAGCGGCCCCGGGCACAGGGCAGGGTGCCATTTTGCGGGATGCTGCGCAAACAGAACAAAGAGCACATGTCCGAAGTGTGTAACAAAGACGGCGGTTAGGTGCAGGTAGATGGCAGAGTGCAAACGGACGACGAGGCGGTCAGCATCTCAGTGGCCAAAGCTGGTTTTGCTGCATCGCCTTTGTCAAGGAACAGCTGGGTTTTGAGAACAAAACGTGCTCGAGGGGAGCTTCACCCAGGTGTGTGTGAGCAAACACAGCTGGAGTTGTTGGCATCTTTGAAAATTTAGCCAGTGGATAATAGAGAAACTTCTCATTTCTGAAAGCAAAGTTTTTAAAGAATTTCAGCTAGAAATAGTGAGAAACGATGAAGAAATTGGAAACATGGGTAAAGGGCTTGATATCTTCCTATGGAAGCAATGAACGATCCGCTGTGTGTAACATTTACATATATGTAAAAGTACTAATGCTTGTACAGGACGCACAGTTTTCTGCATCATTCCCGTAATCCTGGATGCAAGCAATTTGAAGTCTGTGTAGTATTTCCTACTTGTGTTTGGTTGTTAATCCTCATTTCCTCCTGCATTTGCATCCTGTTTAAAGTGTTGTCATTTTCCACTCATTTGGTGTTTTTTTCTCTTAAGCTGCCTTGCCTGTTCCATTCTTCCTCTATTGCAGTTTCTTTCTTCTATTTGTATGTTACTCACAGAGGCTATCATAAATTATGAATAAAATGTATGGATTGCACATCTGGGATAGGCCAGGCTCTGCACAAGCAGCTGGCCTGGACTCGTTTGTATGTAGTTAGATTTCTGTGTGAACCCAGACCCAAACACCGTGGGAAGACGTGAGCTTTTCCAGGTGAAGCATTTGATGCTACGATAGGATTTTCTTGCGTATGGGGACCATTTCCTTCTGTTGGCTATGAAGAGAGCTTTGCATTATTAGTTCAGAATTGGGCATCTACCCTGGATAATTATAGAAGTAGATAACTGATGTTGTTCTTGCTTGAATCTCCTTCAAGATAGAATTTTCTAGACAGGAAGAAGTGGAGAAACCTGTCTGCTTATGCCCTCTTACACAGTGCATTCTTCTTACTGTACAAGTAAATGTTATTTCCCCACTTTCAGAAGGCAATGATTTTGAAATAAGCTCTCTCTCTTGACCTTTTCTCTGTCCTCTATTTCCATACCAATTATAAGAAACAAAACAACACTGCTATTGATGGTTACAAAAGACTGGGATATGTTGTAATCCCACAGGAGCTATTCTTGGAGAGAAGCATTCCCAATCTCAGCAGGGAGACTCACAACAACTGCAGCCACAAATGTTATTCCTAACAGCCGAGTAATCTTTCCAGTTGTCACGTTCCAGACCTTCTGCTGCATGGAAATCACCCAAGCCACTGTGCTTAAATATTGTGATGTTTTCCCAGCAGCATTGGGCCTGTTTCCCACCGAGCTCCCAACTAATCTCCATTTCAGGAGCTTCACAGCAATTCAGGTTGGGGCATTCAAGAGTTCACTGGATGAGTCATGGTGCCCTCTCTGTGGGAGGGTTAGTCCTTGTCTTGAAAAGTACTGGAGAGAAGATGAAGACACTTTCCTCATACTGTCTTCTGTCTACAAATAGGAGCATGAGAAAACCCTGGTGAATGTACCAGACTGCCCCAAGTCATACCTACAACCAGAGCAGTGGTGGTTCCTATAGGACCAACTGGGGAGAGGTGGTAGCTGCTACATGCAGTGTTCAGTTCACAGGAAAGCTGGGCTAAACAACACCAAGCAAATCCTGAACTTAGTTCTGTAGTGTTACCCTAGGATTGACAAAAGTGCACCCAACAAGTGTGGGTGGGAGTACCTGGGTTCCTTGCTTCTTCTCTGTAGTGACTTTTGTCCATTTGTGGAATCACATTTCATTTCTAAGAGACAATTTGAATGATTTCAGTTTCTAGCTATAATGCAGGAAAACACATGGCAAAGGTGTGTATAATATGCAGATGCTTAACCAAGAGAATATTTCATAGAGGCTGTAATGCTAAGAGGACTTCGCTACAAACTGACAAAGCTGAGAATTCCTTAAGCAGACATTATGTCATCTAATTATACCCACATGAACCAGAAGACTTATCTGTCTTCTGCTAAATATTTGTGCAGAATATCACTGCATAAGTCGTTTGGATGACAGTCAGTACTAGCAGTCTTCAGAAATGTTCCAGGGAATGAAGGAATAAGAGTGAATCTTCACGTTAAATTCCCCTAATTTTAGGTTTTACATTGTAAAAAAATAACCTTACTCCAGAATAGTCATTTGCACTCTATTTTAGTTCAGCTGACCCGAAGTAAATTCATCTGTAAGGCAGAATGTTTGGGCAGTATATTTGTTTCCTCCGTGCATCAGTCTCTTTCTCTCTCCAGCTAGAGTTAGATCTGTTAAAACTGACTTATTTATAGCATTGCATTAGCGGAATGCTTATGGTATGATTGTGATATTGAATATGATATTACAGTGATAGTTTTGTGGAAGTTAAAAGATCTAATAACATTTTCAGTGTCTTATGGTATAAATGTTCTGGTGTGTGTGACATCTCGGTTAAAAATTAATTCATATATAGACGGCATGAAAGGGGAGAGCAGCTACTTCTAAATATCTTTCTGTGTGAAAAGCCTTGCTGCAGAGAGAATTACGGTTGTTCCTGAGAAAAGTGTTCACATGTGAGGTTACTCAACAATGGGCCATTGCTCTATAAATCTGCATGAAGACTTGCCAGAACTGGGCTGTATAATATGGTTGTGAGAACTTGGCTCCAAATGTATACACCAAAGGGTGTTGGACACGGAACACTTGCAGGCTATACTATGGCAGCATGTAGTTGTCTGTGTAGGTGATCATTTGAAGATCGATTGAAGTTCAACTGTAGCAGTGATTTTTGTATCTGTCTTGTATGACTGGAATGAAACTATCAAACCACTTAATTTTAGATAAATGATAATTATTCAATAATGATTTAAATTGCTGCCTCATTTATGCTATTGGTTTGGGCTCGGCTTTTATCTTTGCAGATTTTGTAGTGAATTTAAAAGGTGACAGATTTTCAGCTCTGTAGTCTCTGTTAGCCTCTGTACTTCATCACAGACAACAGCTACATTAGAAATAATCCTATTTTTTCCATTCATCCTTTCTTAGAGGTAATCCATGGTGTAAGGGATCACCTCTAGGAATTAAAGAATATTCTTAATGCTCATTAAATATTTCTGGTCCTTTTACTGAGGTTTCCAGGCATGTTGGTGCAAGGGACAGTCTCTTCCACAGAAGATGATAATTCATTTCAGATAGATCACTGAAGATTGTTAATAAATAATAATAGTATATAATTCTTCTGTCACGCCTCTCAAAGGAGAGGTGTTAATGCTAGATTTAAGGTGTTGCAGGCATTGCAAACATTTTCACACAGGCTACATTTGGATTTGAGAACCCAGTGAAACTTTCCTTATAACAAAGGGTGAGCGATTGTCTTCTCTGGGGCAAATGGCTTCTAGTGGAGTCTTGCTCTAAGCCACCTGTAAGCAGAGGGAGACAAGTCTCCCTGTACCCTGTGAGAAATTGTGAATTTGGACACTGGGGCTAAATGGACTGGAGTGAAGCTACCATTACCCGTGACTGAAATTTGGGGCTAAATCCTTCCCTGGTGTCTCCCACCTGGATGAAATGAGGTGGTGTCCAGCATGTCCTCCACTAAGGGGGATTCATCCAGGCAAAGCCAGAGCCCACAGATGAAGAATGGGCATGCACTGCATAGACTCCTTTAAGCTACAACAATCTCCATATTTAGCTGCCAGTTCTTGCTGACATTAGAATAAGATCTAGCTGGTGATAAGGCGAAGGCATACCTCAGTCAGGGAGCCAACCTGCCCTGGGGCTATGAGAGAGAGGAAAATGGTCCACTCTCAGTGCTGTCAGCTCAGATCTGCTCCCTGATCTCACCATTTCCCTTAATCCCTCCTACTTCACTCCCTCTGCCCTTCTATGTTGCTTGCTGTCTTCCTATTTTTCTCCTTTTTCCTCCCATTCTTTATGTGTTCCTTCATTTTTCTTCCTGTTTTCCTTTTCTCCTTTCTTCTTTATCTCTCACAGCTCTTGTGCTGCTCATTCTGCCTGCTCCATTCTCCAATTCCCCTTTCTGTCACCTGCTCCACTCTTCTTTTCCTTGCTTTTCACCTTCACTGATATCT